GGTTGATCTGTCTTGAATTTTTCCTTCTTCTTTCCTTTGGCTGGAATAAAACTCCTGAATTTTTAGTTACAGAACTTTAAGCAAAAAAAAAACCAAAAACCCATTATGTAGTTCCTGAACGTTGTGTGTTCTCCCTCCATCTAATTGACATGAACTAAATGGAAGCACTACAGGCAGTTTGAACAAAGAATGCCTGCTTTTTAAAAATGAGTTTGCCAGCACTATTGAATTTGCAAGAAGCAGAGTCAGCATCTTAAGCCATTTCAGTCTTTTGCAGAATGACATTTTATTTAGCAATGTGGAACTTGTTAAACGGTTCCCTTGAGCTTTAAAAGCATCTCTCCACGTTTGCAGGACCTGCGGGAAGTATGGCTTAATTATCCACTACACCCTCTGCAAGTAAGTGTCCCCTTTTCACTAACGAATTTCAGAACAGTTTAAGGATGCCTTTTATTGGTCTTTGGCTGTGTTGACATCTTTGAGCATTTAACATCCACACATGGCCTTTGTGAATTTTTGTAGTTAATAAGTGTCAGGTACTGGGGCTCAAAGGCAGGCAAGCATCTTAGAGGAGATAGGCGGGCAGGCAGTAATTGGGCAAGCAGATGTCAGTCACTGGGCGGCCATGTGGAAAACCACCAGTTTGGTGGCACTAGGGAGAGAATAAGCTGGCAATTTTGGTCGCCAAGAGACTTCTCAGGCTGGAAAAGTACAACAAATCTCAAAGCCTTATGGAGGCAGGAGTGCATCTGTGGCCTTCTCATGTCACCTGATTCCTCTGGGTTCAGGAAGGCTGTCAGCATCTCAGCTGGAACTGTCTTCCTGTTACTGAAAGAAGAAGCAGACAGAAACCGGCTCTCTGCAGGAGCTCCTTATTTGAGGCTGGCAGTGTGTCCTCATGAAGGAATCTGTTCTCTCATCTTCTCCTGGGAAGGCTGTTTCTTCTTTGACCTCCAGGGCAGGCAAGAAAAAGATGTTTTCCACCATCTCAAATATAGGATTAAAGATAGGATAGAGCGCTTTTTTCCCAAAGCTCTTAGAGGGCTCATCTTTGATGGCCAATTGTATGCAGTTAGTATCCGTGGTCAGAGAGATACAAGATATAATTGAAGTGTATTATCCACAGTTATAGTGTCAATACTTAGGTTCTTTGGGAGGATGAATAAACCAAAATAGATGCTAAAGTGAGAAAAATCATGAATTTTTGTCTACTAATTTTTGTCATGATTTCTGTCAACCTCCTAAAATTTTTATTTCTATTATTTGTATATGAATACCTCAGTGTACTGTGAAAGAATGTTGGTAATGTGTTATAAAGATGGGTAAGTCCCACCATTTATTGGAGCATTGCTTATTTCTAATATTTTTGTAAAATCATACCACTGGCTGAAACATTCCCCACATTCCATTTTTGCCCTTAGAAGAGCTAATTTCAACAAAAGTGGAACAGGTCCTATAGAAAAAAAATGTAATTATGTTCTTGTGATATCCCCAAGTTTGAGCATTCTATTTTCACACTTTCAGCAAGCATTCTTGCTAGCTTCCAGCTAAAATAATTTAATAGGAAAATATTAGATTAAAGAAAATAGGCAGAGGATTCTACAGTGAAATAAAACCTTTTGAAATAAGTTTTTATAGTAAAAAAAGGGGAGATTGATTGATTACATTTATAGCCAAAAAAATATTTCAGCATGCAGATAATCCCAGGGCAGCTGGAAAAAAAAAATATTTAGATAACATAGTTAATAACATTACTAAAAGAAAAAAAAATCAGCTGGGGGTAATAAAACTTGGCAATAGCTAAAAAGGTACAGTATTTATAAGCATGGACTTTTGCTGTTATCAGTAAAATTACAGACTTGGAATACATGAGGATCCCAAACAATTTTTGAGAACTCTTGAAACTATTCTGTTTATATATGTTCATAATTAATGAATCTTCCCATATTTAAAGCTAGGTTAAAATCTCCTTCAGGTTGAACTTCACTCTGGTTGACTTCACATATGCATCCATATAGCCCCCCTCCAGTGGCCTAGTGAATAATGGCAATCTCAGGCCATTTTGAGGGGCATTAAAGGTAGGAATTGAATGGTTTGCCCAGTGTTGTCCAAACTTGGCCACTTTAAGCTGGCTGGGGAATTCTGGGAGTTGAAGTCCA